AATAGTCTATGATATTTGAATATAAAATTCAGCTTCGAATTAATTTTTACATCTTAAATGTTTAAAAAATTTATCTTTAAATTAATTTATCTTAATTTTTATTAAATTTATAAAAAAACATATATTATGTATGAAATTGAAAATAATTTCTTAAAAAAAGAGGTTAAAATTTAAGTCGATTAGTGTTTTTGAAAGAAAAATTAAAAATTCAGAATCAAAGTACAAATAAGAAGATTTTTGTCACGTAGGACCGCCCAGTCAACAACCATGACGAACCAGAGCATGCCATGTGGTAAGGCACGCTGACGTCGGTGCCACGCGAGATGTCACGAGGGCGATTTGCGCGCCTCTCAATCGAACAACTCAAGATCGATCATGCGCGCGTGGACGACCCGGATTTGTTCCCCCTTTAAACGCAATTGGAGGTCGAGATCAAATCGCGATGAACGATCGATATTTATTTTTTTCTTTAACGCAATCGGACGGTCGAGATCAAACGTGATAAATGATCGAGATTCATTTCCTCCTTAGGTGTGATCGAATGGTCGAGATCAAATGTGATGAACGGTCCAGATTAACATGAAATGGATATAAATATTTTGCATCACACTGAACCCAAACCTTAACCACCAGTCTTTCGCTGAAGAATAAGAACCAGTCTCCGAAGAAGGGAGCCGACCACCGACCGCCACCGCACCGGAGTCATTTCTCCAGCAAAAAAAGGTAAAAATTCTCCTACCTATTCAGAATTTGATTCTGAGTACCCCTGTGGCCATATCGGAACAAAATAAATGGCGGGTGAGTTGGAAAACGTGGGCAAAGCCCTGCGGCGCCGCTATGGGCAAAACTCGCAACCTCTTCCAATGAGCCCCTTCCCGTTTTCCATTTCGTGCGATTTTTTCACCATTCTTTTTTTTACAGGTTGACCGAAGAAAAACTCCCAGGCGCGAAGGTGAACCGACGGAGCTACTGCACTCGAAAAATTCCACAGCCGGTAGATTTCCGTTTTTTTTTTTTTTTTTTTTTTGTTAATTGAGGCCCCATAACGTATTTTTTCACAGGAATATGTATAAAGCTGGTTGAAACTGGGCAAAACTGGTTCAAAACGGCCAAGTCGAGACAAACAGGTGCCGTGGGTGGTGGTGCGATCGCTGGACCATGGCATTGCTGCCGTGCTGGAATCCCAAAATTGGCCAAAAATAATTTTTTACACCGATTTTGGATTTTTAGGGTATTTAGATACATGAAAAGTGCTTTAGATTCTGCAGGGATAA